TAAGTACATTCTTGTGTAAAAGGTGAAATTAAAAGCATGGTTATATTGTGTTTGAATACTAGTAACGGAGAAAAATATATTATTGTTGGCATGTATTGCAGATAGTAATTAGCAACAATAAATACCACAGTTTACAGACTTGAAAAAGGAACACTCAACTTAGGCGTAATGTCATTCTGAGCCAAAGCTCTATACTCCTAGCAAACAAACCTGGAATGGATACAGAAACTGTATGCAGTTCTTTATCAATTATTTAGTGTTTTAAACTGATTATAAATTCTTTATAATTTACTTTGCAACATATGAGACTGGTATTTGTAATAAAAAAAAGCACTTTCTTGAAAATATTACTATAATCATGTTTTGTTAAAAAATCGAAATCATAATACGATGTTATAGGATTTGTTTGGACGATGATATGATATGATATATGCCAATATCGCCTGTCTGGCACGATTCATTCCATACAATTTCCACATCTCATATGTGGAAATGATACGACATGATAACATCATTCAATTTCGAGGCTCTGACAGGCTTCAGCATTTTGATAAAAAAAAAAAGAGTTATTATAAATAAATAATGATGATAATGATGATAACACACGTTTTGACTACCATCTGATGTCTTGTTAATTAGAAATAAAAGGCATATCATAAAGATGAATATGTGGTTCGATATTTTCATTTTACATCAACGTAATTTAATTGTTAATCATTTAATCGATGCATTGATGTGGATGGCTGTATACGTATACCCATAGTTTTGTGATGTAAGCCAGATGGATTGTTCCAGCCAAACCAATTTATCAGCTTGCTATAAATACACACATTTATAAAAGTGTTAATTTACAACAGTGCGAATAATGTCTGATTTTCTGTTTTACAGCAGTATCATGATGTAGAATGTAGACCTGCATTTCTGCAAATACAGAGAAAATATTACACTCAATGATATAGTATTTTGAAAATCTCATACCCACCACTGCTCACTTCCTACACTAATAAGTAGGATTTTTTCTTCTTGAAACAGATGTATAAAGCTACACAAGTTACTTCACAAAAATTTGTGGGTGCTTAAAAAAAACAAACAGCTCAGTTACGGTTGGAAAATTACAGGGTCACAACCACAAAAACTGGTGGAGTCCCAATGGTCTGCCGTCTTAATTTTAACTTGCAAAAAGTTTTAACAACTTCCACTGTATCAGACCTTGTAGTTCCGATGGTAAAAAAAAAAAAAAGTTAAATTCACATATAGATAGCGTGTAATGTCCCCATGCAACAACTTGCATCCGACCCTCACAATATTGAACAGTTTGGGCCTCTTTCAACTCACCAGGATTCCTGTAAATCCAACCTAACTGAAGCCAGTTTGCTATCAAGGCAGAGCTCTAATGTTTTTCCCGCTGAGCATAAGGAGGATGAGATCCTCACTCATACCACCCTACTCTTCCTATTAAGATCAAAATCTTCTCTCAGGCCCTCGGGTGTCAACAAAGGGAGATGCAGTAAATGATATGCAAATTGAAAAAAAAAAGAGCTCCACAAATCAACTCGCCAGCCCCGCATTTCCGATGCTTCACATCTTAAAAGATTTTTTCTCTGTATTTAGGGTGAAATTCAAAGTGCGGTCTAGCTCAGCCTCTGTGAAGCTCTGTTTGGTGATTCTCTGCTCTCAGACAGCACAAAGCCCCTCTAACTAAAGGCAACTCGCAGAGGGGAAACTTATCGAAAGAGTTCTGGGTTTCCAAGGGATTTGTCTTTGGATCAGTATTAGACAGGAGACACGAGGCTCGGAAATAGGTAGATGTTTCAATTTCATGTTAACACTGCTTAGGCTGGAGGTTTAGCTGCCTGCAGTAGGAGCGCCCTTTTCATTGAAAATGAGGAGAAGAGCTGGAAAATGTTTTAGTTAAAGACGGAAACCATATTTTTTTCATAGTTTTGCAGTTTGACTAAAACAGATGAAGATACTTTTGTTTTTCCATGGATGTAAGGAGTTATTTCTCAGCAGTTATATTATTCATTAATCTATCATAAATATAATGAGGAAGTAAACTGATAACAGAGTCATAAACTGTTTATTTCAGGCATATGGGGCTTTACTCCCAGTGCTTTATTAATACCACATATTTTTTAATTTGTGCACCCCTCCTACAGCATAACATCATGATGGTTTCATTTTGTTTTGACTATTAACGTGTTTCATAACGGAACGTCTGCAAGGTTTCATAGCAATCTGTGACCTGAACAATATTCTAAACACATGGCAAGGTTTGATCTATTACCGAAAACATAATAAACCTGCTTTTGTCTTCTCGTAGAAGCAAATAAAAAGCTAAGTGCAACTTTGCATGAGTTCATCTCACTATTATCAAGCAGTTCTGGGGAGAAATTTGCTGGTGAGCAGTTGAAAAGTGACTGGCTAGCTGATCAAAAACTAAAATTTTATTTTATTTTTTCCCTGATCAGTGAACTCCTAAGAAAACATGGCACTAATAGTTATTCCTACCAACACTTCTGGGTGAAATTGGTTACTGTGGTAAGATTTATTATTACTAATTATTATCACTTACTAATATTTGATTATTTATAGTGTCATTGTTTTATTTTAAATGAAGTTTTAAGAGGGTTTTTTTTTTTAAGAAAACATTTTTTATGAGAAGTGGAAACATGTCTGCTGCAAGATAAAACTGGCTGCAAGATAAAACTTAAATTAGATAAGAGAAATGTTAAGCTGATAGTTGCTTTTGTGCATCTTTTTAAGCCAGTTTTGCCAGTTACGTGACTTTGTTGCTAGATTTAGACAGGATTCAGGCCCCTTTGGGCCTTTAAAAAAAAAACAAAAAACTACTTGTATCAAATCTATCAACATTTTCTGTGTTACTGGATGCTAATATAAAAGCAAAAATCATTGGTACTGTTCTCAATGAGCAGTGGATGCCTCTTGAGGCTGTACTCTTCTTCCTAATAGCAAAGAGAATTCAAGCTAACCACTTCTCTTCAAGAGTTGGAAGTAAGTAAGCAAAGTCTTTTATTCCATATACTGTACAATTATCAGGGTTTATAGTGGATTCTGACTGGCTGGACACCTACCTAAAAGTAATGGTCAAATAGCCTAATAGTATTTGCTTGGTCAAACGCTAGCTGGAAACGGGAAGACAGTTTATGCTGGTTACCAACGCAACGCATCACAACAACTGAATTAGACTTAGACAGACTTTATTATCATTTATAAAGACTTTATTTTCCTGTTAAAGGGGAGCTTTCCCTCTCCACTGTCGCTACATGCATGCTTAGTGTGAGGGATTGCATTCGAGTCAATGAGTTGATGCAATCATATGGTTTTCCTTAGATAGAAAACTTTGAATCAAATTGACTGTATGATCTGGTGAATTGTAAAGTGGCTTGAGATGACGTGTTGTGAATTGACGGCATATAAATAAACTGAATTGAATTGAATTTGTATACACAGAGTGTATACAAAAAGAAATTTCGTTCAGTACATCTCTCAAGACATTTTTCATTTTTTACAGTGCAGGCGTGATAAAGGTGAGCAGGTATGTAAAACATACGACTGTATATTAGTTACAGTTTCAACAATTCAGGGTTTAACTGATCTCTATTTTTTTACTGGATTGCTGATAAGCCATTGTACAGGGTGAAGCTGTGAAGTCCCCAGCCGCCACATTGGTACTCCCTTAGACTGGTTGGGATGTAAACAATACGTGCGCTACAGCATCGAAAAACAATGATTTTCCCTTTTTTTGGGGGGGGCCTAAGACTTTTAAAATAAATATAAATTAATCACTTTGACATACACGTGCTGTTTCTTAGCATCAGTAGATTATTGTCATTTATGGTAAAAAATAGGCTCATCACTTTGCATATTCAGTATGAAGTCCATGAAGTCTACAAATCATGTAATATGACTCATTACACAAATCAATCACAACAAAATTTGTTTGTTATTGGAACATAATAAAACTGTAGTTACATATTAAGAGTATTACACCCCCCCACACACACACCCACTAACTGATGAAGTGCTAAAAATGCTAAACTGATGCTGTACATGTAATATATATGTATTAATTACATCGTATAGTATTTACATTATATTGCAGGCATTTTTATGGCTTGACTCCGTGAGAGAGGGGAGTACCAAGATGGCAGCAGGTGACTTTTTACAGCCTATCAGCAATGCAGTCAATAAATAGAGTTTAGTGGCAACAGCCCAAGATGCAAGATTTCCTGGAAAGCAGCCAATCATAAGCAGGTTGCTTTGTCTGGTAGATAACGCCTTCAAAGTGATAAAAGTTGACAGAAGTGAGCAGAAACAGGTCCACACGCGAGGAGGAAGGAGGCTGCTCGCCTGAAATTAAACCACACATGGGAAGAGAAGAAACAAGCACTCATGTATGTGATATACTTGGGCACATGTAAAACTTAAACATGCGCATGAGGAGTAGTTTATGAGTGTCTATATGAAGTAAAGCTGCTGTTAGGAGTATTTATTGTATGTGTGCCTTTTTGACAGAATCCTGATGCCATAAATTTCATCCCACCTTATGCTTTAACAAAAAAAATCTTGAATCCATTGTGATGATTGCTGTGCCAACTGTGTTAAATGCTAACATAAGGGAAATGGTTAAAAAGTTAACGCTGTTTTGTCTTTTAAAATGGGTTTTAGCTGCTGCTTCTGATAAAGGGAATTAACCTCCAATCACAGCAAGAACACAATAAACTAAATCCGCTTATATTATAGTTTTAAAAAGAAGTCATATAATCTAGAGATAAGTGCATCTCTACAATAATGCTATAAAAGATGGGTAAACTATTCATGCAAACTCTGAGCGCTTTGGATTAGAAGATACGGGTATAATGTCTGCACAAGTTGCTCATCGTGATACTTGTTCTTCCTTCCAAAGTGCTTCCAACTCAGAGGACTTTTTCTTTGGAGTGTCTGTCTGTCTCTGCATCTGACATGTCTTTTCTTACCGGCTGACACGGATGCAGAGCCTCAGCGCTGACTGACAAGGGGCCCGTTGGAAAGGGTGGGGTGGGGTTCAGTCGCGTGCTCTTCCTCAGGGATCGACTCCACAGTCGACAGTAATTTGTAGTACTCGTCCTCTCCGTCCAACACTTTGATTTGACTGTGATGTGAGAAAAGAGAAAACTAAAAAAAAAAAAAAACTGGATAGAGAGCAGTGACGAACATTTTCCTGATCTGAACAAAAAGAGACAATATTTGCAGACTCAGCAGAGATGTAGCCAGGTGTTTACTCAAACAGAGTGATTTACAGTACAAAGTCAGCACTTTAATGATTAAAATTAACATCCTGACAAAAGAATAATGTGCTCCCCCTTCAATAATGACGCCAAGCCTCCTCTCATAAAAAGCCTGTTATTTTCAGCTATCCATTTACATTATAAGAAAACAACTCCATTTCTGGATTTTCCTATCCCACAAAGGGCCTGCTCTGTTTAGAGTCGCTGTAAGTAGGAAAGCAGTTATTTACCCAAGTTTTCTCGGCTTCCTCTTGCTCCCCTGGTGATCCAGAGTTCTCTGAGGAAAGGGCCAAGAGCACACAGTCAAAAGATGAGCAGAGAGTCATTAATTTTTAATTCAAAGTGATTTTGTGTTGAATACGAGCAGATGCTGATAATATCAGAAGTCACAGCATAATTTTTTTTCTGATCAAAGGGCTCAAGTGAGTCTGATGAAGCATGCATCTTGCTCTGCTTTGATAAACCACATCAATTATTCACCGTGAAGGCAGACATCCTGACATGAAAGCAACAGATAAAGAGCATAAGCACATGTTCAAGACAAGAGGCAGAGGAGCGTGGGGGTGGGGCTCCAGGGTCTGGCACAGGTAGGTTTAATTGTATTATCATCTGGAACCAAACTCAGACAAAGGCCTTTATCGGCACTTTGAACTCACATTTAGTTGGTTGTAGTACAGGCTGTCTTCAGGGCTGTTGAGCTGCTTGGGCTGCTGGCCACGGCGACGAGAAGTCCTCTGATGCGGCTTCGTCACTGAGCCTGAAACAGAGGGGGAAAAATGAGGGCAGCGATCCAAGTAGAATGAACAACAACAACAAGAAGCAACATCACGATACTGATGGTGACGACAGCAGAAGCAAGCAGAACCTGCCCTCGACTTTTATAATTTGTGTGACTGAAAAAGCACTTGAAATGCTTTTAAAACTTGCTTAAATGCAATCATGTAATTTTATTGATGAGATGACTCAATAACAGCTTAATTTTACAAAGACCCACACATAGAAATCCCTCAGAATGATATCTCTCCTAGCAGGTGCACAGCAGGATGGATTGGTATTTCTTAAGCTGCTGCAGAGGAAACATTAAAAGGTGAAACTGCAGCAACCAGCTCATCAAACGAACCAACATGGACTCAGAGCAGATTTTCAGTAAAAAGAATAACTGATTACATTTACTGATTATCATTGAAAACTGCTTTTCTTTTTTTTTCTTTTTTTACAATGTCATGTTTAAAATACGTTTTATCTGGATTTTATCTGATTCCATCAGACATAAGGTAATATAGTAATATACTAGGAAGTAGTAGGAAATAAAAATCTCACTGGTAGGCTTTGATACTCAGTTTCCCATTCTAATATCCTGACTGAAATCCCAATTACTAACAATAACATTCGAAAGATTAAAAACAAAAAAACAAACAAATCTGGTTTGCAGAGTTCACCAGCATTACATTTGATTTCAGTAAAGAAAAGTTCTTTGCCTTGAAGGCAATGCCATGCAGTAGACGGACTAACAAATAAGGATGATGCTCTAATAAGACCATGCTGAACTTAAATGTTTAGTTCTATAGTTTGGCTCTAGATAATCTATTCCTCTGGCTGGTTTAGCATTAAATATATATTTGTGATTAAAACAAGTTTGTTGAAAATGAGAAGGGCATCTCATTTTCTAAACCAAAGCTAAAAGAAAAACATAAAGCACACAGTAAAAACATGACATCTGTTATTACCTCGATTTTGATTTTAAAAGGTATGTAAAAATGAGTTAAATCATATTCAATAGTTAGTGGAAAACCATTAAAACTATTTTATTTTTAAATAAAGCTCAAAGCTCCTGGGTCCAGATAAACCGCCCTGAGAGCTGCAGATGTGACAGTACCAGGGTACAGATCCATGGTCCTTGAGTCCAAGATTATCTTCACACTGACATCCTCTTCAGAAACTCTGGCATGGCACAGACTTTGGCACGGTTAAAGTGTTCACAATGTATATATATATATATATATATATATATATATATATATATATATATATATATATATATATATATATATATATATATAGGAACATAATTATAAATATTGTAATTTGAGGAAATACAGGAATTAAAGGGGTAGGAAGACATAAGTTTTACCTCTTCATACTCCTTTTCACACATGTAATAGAGGTATATTAACTTAGGAAAGAAAGGTACCTTGTTTGTTGTTTCTCGCTGCAATATGTTTAAACATTGTTTTTTTTTCTCTCTCTTGCATGTTCGAAATAAAGATACCAATTCAATTCAAAATTCTATTCAATTCAATTCAATGTTTGTGGTAAAGGTGGGGGGTACAAGTCCAGCCAATTCTGTTCAAGTTTTTATTTGTGAAGAAAAATATTAAACTTTACTGTCGGCTGGTCTATCAATTAAGCTCCTAACAAAACAGATTCGTAGATTAAAAGTAAATAATACAAAGGAATACAATATTTTCTATAAATGTATTAAAATTTATTTTTTGTTTTATTTAGACATTCTGCTAATTCTAAATTGGGAATTAGAATTGGTTTAAGAAAACTACTGGAATAATCTGACTTTCTTTCAATTTGGTTTTCTTTAGTAGATGAGACAAGTTAACGTGTTTATTCAATAAAAGAAATGCTTTTGAAGCATTCAACATTTTTCTCTCTAATCTGGTTACCAATGATGTCCCTTGTGATTGCAGGACAAGTCAGGGAATTTAATTAGCTCTGTGGAGAGTTGTCAAGTTTTCATTGTTTGGACTCCAGAAGGTGAAGATCCCGTACAAGTAAAGAGCTGAAAGTCACACAGCAATAGTTTTGTGAAAATATCTATATGCCATCATAGTTAAAGTAATCAGTAATCTGAATTTGGATATTTAATACCTAATTTTGATTAAAAGTATTAATCTTTCAAAGCAATAATAAAAGATAACATACAATGAAAGTCTCAATTATTTTTCTAAACAAACACATAATCAAAACAGATTAAGATGATGCTGTAGGGAATAAAGGGATCCTAAAATATATTTAGCTGATGTCAGCGTAAACTGTGCTGCCTGCTATTTCAGATTACTGTCAGATATAAAACAAAAAAAACGAGTTAGACGTGTGTGAACTGTTTAAAACTCTTTAAAACAAGTGGGATTTGTTTATTGTTTTAGTTTGAATTCATCTTACAAGTCATCCTGTTAATTATCATTTATGTTTATTGTGATTTATCACATTCTTTATTTGAAGTCTACTGAGTGATAATGTAATTCAGCAAAAAGAGATGTAAGGAAATGATCCCTCCTTTTTAATATCTGGCAGGAATTATTGTTTGTGAAGATTAAAGACTCAATTCAGAGTGTTAAACAGCAAACTATTTGACTGACTGATAAAAAAAAAAACTAATCCTTGGTATGAACCAGAATAAATCACCATCTACTGCTTTAACCTATATTGAGTTGGAGACCTCATCAGGATGGATGGATGGATGGCTGGCTTACTATCCTTGTCTAGATTTAAAAAATACCTAGATTTAAAAAATGCAGACATTATAAATCAGAGACACGAGACAGCATCTATATTTAATGTCTGATAACGTTTCATCTCCTTTCGGTTTCGGTTGAGACACGACATTTCTTGATCATCTCATTCCAACTGTGTATATACCTTGACTAAAGAAGCATTTGCTCTTTCCATCTTAAGACTACTTTGTGCTCACTTTGAACAGACCTCATCACATCTCAATCCTGCACATCAAAGAGCAGGGTCCCCCTCCATCCCTTCAATCTTCCCTCGGCTTTCTTGATGTTATTCAAACCAGCACCAGTTTACTAAAGTCCCACTTAACCAAAGTTCCTGTCAGTTAGGAGATATTGGCTAACTTCTACCGTGAATCTTATCTATCCGTGCCCCGGAGGTGTTAACTGCCCACTGTGTGAATGCTTGTTACCCATGAGTATCTGAGGATACTTAAAGAATTTTCATAAACGCAGAGGGAAAATTGCTTCGGGGGTGGAAACTTTTTTTTTTTGCTCCTAAAAGTACATTTTGTTATATCAATAGCACCTTCAGTAAGTTACCAAAGTATTCCTACAACCTAACTTTTTCACATTTAGTCCTGTTACAACCAGAAATGTATTTGATGTTCTTTAACAATCCTCAAGGCCTCTCTATATTTACTGAACTGGTGGTTTATTCTATCTAGCCTCTTCAGAATAAAAGGGGCTGTAAATAAAACAGAGAAGAGTAGTTTGCAATTTTCTAACACTTTGTCTTTATCTGCTGAATAAAATACAAATTCAAATACTAATATTTGAAGTTAAAGCAAACTATAAATGTGAAAAGGTGTGAATACTTTTTTCAAGGCACTGTATATTGGGAATTAATGGAAAAATTCAATTTAGATTTTTTTTTTAGTATTAGATAAATGACCAAATATAATGTAAATCTCAGTACATACAAAATCTTAAAATGTATCCTCTAACACCTTCTTTGGTCATATGTGTATACAATTCAGAACCAAGGCACTGATGATCTCTATGATGAGGTGACAATGATGTGGTACAGCATCATTCTTTCACATGGAATTGATACAGTTAAACACAACATTTTCTACCTTAAATGTTTTGCTCCAGTTAAGTATGGAGATTAATTATTTTCACAAGTTATAATGGCAGACTGTATCAGGGGTATTTGTAACTTTTTAAAGTAGATAAATAGATTGGTGATTTTGGACTTGTAGTAAAGCAGTTATCTAGCCTTAGCCATAACTTACAGAAAGGGCTAAAACGCGTCTTATGACAGAAACTCATTAACATATATTTTGTTTTTTATATAGAGGGACGTGTTTGTTAAATATATCACTATATAAAAAACAGATACCTAGAAATGTTGTAAGCAACTGTAACAGCAGTATGTAAGGTGGATTATGTGTATAACCATCTATGCAGATGAAACAGTGATGTTTACAAAGCAGAAAGTATCTTTGATTCTCACATCAATCCACAATTTAAGTAGTGGTTTAACTATTTAAATGATTTCTGTTATTGATTACCAAGATGTGAAAAAAAGAACAAAATAACAAGAAAAATGTGAAACTACTTGCCCACTTTCTCAAGGGTGAAGCACTTAATATATGAATTTCAGTATCTTGATGCTTTTCTGCAAAAGTAAGTAACAATTATATTGAACCACAATTTCTAATGAAATAATTAGTTTGTGCTATATTGTTATTACAATGGACAGGTAACTTGCAGTATATGGTTTTTTCATGTATTTTAAAATATTCAAGTTGGTTTGTTGGGTCAGCTTTAAATGTTGTTTGTTGGTAGAATTCATTATTTATTTCTTTTCACATATTTATTGATAGACCATCAATATGCCTGCACCCAAACATGAAAAATCGTTTAAATATCTGAAACATCTACAGGTTCTCTAATAAAAAATTCTCCTTTTTTAACTTTAAATCAGGTTCTAATGTATGTATCAGCAAGGAGACAGTTAAATTTAATTGCATGTTTTTTTTTATCTTCATCATGTTCTCTGGAGGTGTTTGCAGGGTGAGTACAAGCTTAATGTTAGTCACACCACAGCAGAATAATATTTATAGGGAAAACATGATTCGATTATTTAAAGGATGCTCAGCTTGTGGGTCTCTTTCACATGGTGAGGTCAGTTTCAAATTCTAGTTTTCCGTTCTAACCTACAGCGATTAGCGCACGCTGCAGATCAGAGGCTGGGTCAGGCCTCCCATCTCTTTGCTTCTGTTTGGCA